AGAGTTTAAAGATAAAATATAATGCAGTATAACACTTTGTCTTTACATCTGGCAAGTGTTTAAAGATAAAATATAATACAGTGTAACACTTTGTCTTTACATCTGGCAGAGTTTAAAGATAAAATATAATACAGTGTAACACTTTGTCTTTACATCTGGCAGAGTTTAAAGATAAAATATAATACAGTGTAACACTTTGTCTTTACATCTGGCAGAGTTTAAAGATAAAATAATATACAGTATAACGTTTCGTCTTTATATATCTGATCGTTCTTAGAAACATTTTCAGCCATAGAGAACTCAATGTTTCCAAATCACGACAATATGACTGAGTTACACGATTTCAACTAGTTTTACAAGCCGTCGTGCGGGCCGAGCGTAGCCTTACTGTTAGTTAGCACAGACGGTAAATCCAAGGATTCGTGGTTCATGTTTCGTTACTGCACAAATTCGTTTCGTAATTTGGGGCAGTGTATGGTCTATATGAAAGACGGTATAATCTCTATTCAGTCAGATAAGAGTATCCCAAGAGTTGGCGGTGAGTGTTGTTAATTAACTGCCTTCTCACTAGTGTATCAGTTCAAAATTATGGCCGGTTATGGACAGATAACTATTTGTGTAATCATGCACGAAAAGTTTAAAGTAAACAATACGTTTTAGGATTTCCTTTTCTATGCTGTTAAAATAAATTCTCGTGACCTCGAACACACACAGTAGAGGTCAACTGATTAACTTAGATACAAATTGAAGAATTTTGTTCTTCAAGTTAGTATTATAAAAGGATATTAGGTGAAGCATAATAAAACAACAACACAAGCTTTCGTTATCAATTAAAAACATTACTACTTCTGAAATGTTACATTTGATATTTTATAAAATAGCATTCTTTAAGGCCCTTACCTTAATATCACATGCCACGAACTATGTCTCATAATTCTGTTGCTGCAACATTCAAAGCTCTTGTCAAATAAATATTTCCCTACTGTTGGATTTGTTCTAAAATTTGTTGTATTCTCAGTTCTACTTATTTCCCTACAAGTATGGGGTAGGTCCGCTAATATCAGGAGGGTCGAATAAACAAGTTACAGAGTTATCTGAACTTGAAAACTCGACTGAGTTTATAAACTGTGTGAGAAATAAACAGACTGGACACTTTTTAAGGCCAGTGAAAACTATCTTTGCTACAGACACAAAAAAAGAGAGAGTGTGTACCTACTTGGACAATTAGACGATCTCCTCTACTAGATCTTCACTCGAGATGAATCTCCCCAGTTATGATGAAAGCCATATAGAACTGCTCCAAATTAAAGCTCTATAAAAACCTTTGTTTCTTTGTCCTGCAATTGCATCACCGCGTAAACGGTCAAGCTCTTATAGCCTTCACTAGCTGAAACATACCGGTGTCGTCTCCTCAGCCACTGAAAGGACGTCTCTATAATTTTGCAGGCAGAGGAGGTAAAATCTGATAAGAAAAATGGAGAGAAAAAGATTTGAGCGGTGGACACAACAGTAGCTAAAACAAACCAATAATTCCCCGTTAACAGATTCAAAGAAACTATGAACAAGATAAAATCTTAAGAACTTGACTTTATCAGAGCCAAAGGGATAAGTTGGCTTTATAAACTCAGAAACTGATGATAAAGTTTATACACATTCAAATTTATACTTCCTCAATGAGAACCAGAACATTCAGCAGGTGCCATGTTCTTGATAAGATTATTTTACTGACTAATAGATGAATAACAGCGTCAGGAAGTTTCTTATTGGCTAGCTCTTTTATATCTTTGAAATAAATAAATAGAGAGTCAAGAAAAAGACCCACAAAGTCAGAAATATAGAGAGGCAGATATATAAAAGCATTCAGGAATTCAGAAAGACAAATATACACATTCATATGCAAAATAGCTGATAGACAGATAAATACACACGTGTAAAAAGGCAGACAGACACACACAGTCTGGAAGGCTGATGGACAGATAGACACACACAGTTAGGAAGTCAGAGGGGCAGATACACAAATATCAACACACACACAGTCAGAAAGCTAGAGATATAGATAGACGAGAACATTTAGAAAAGCAGACTGACAGATATAACAGTAGATACAAACTTTTATAATTTTCATGTTCTTTCGCTGTTACGTTACAACTTGTTTTTCTATTTAAAACATGAAGGACAACAACTACACAGATTCTCAGCCAGCATGTCGTTCACCGCTAGGAGATCTGCCGCCTCGTATTATTTACACATCCCTTATTACCATACGATCCATATGCATGAGGTTGAGGAGATGTAATGTCTACCTCTTGTACACCCCACTTTCTCTTGAGGAAAGGAATAAGCTGTCTGGTCCAACAGAATCATAAATCTTACTCTAGCTAGAATTTCGGACGCTGGCTACGAAACTCTCCAGACCCCAGTAGCTGGCTACGTAAGTCTCTAGACCCCATTCATTGAAAATACTGTTTTTCCCTCACTCTGAACTCAGTTTTAAAGATGCTATTTCTACGTGTACTGAGCCCCCTTCCACCGAGACCGTGTCCTTGACTTCAGTTTGGAAACCAGTCGTATCAAACAGTTATCAAGCAATAAATACTACACAATGGTTTACCTGCGTATAGAATAGAAGAAAGACAACTAATCAACAGCACCCACCACCATCTCTTGGCCTTATTGTGCCTGATCGAGTAATGAAATGTGACTGTCACTCTTACAGCGCACTCGCGCCCTCAAAGTGCGGAGCTCGTTTTTGCAGCAACGCGTCACAATCCATGAATACTCGGATGACAGCGAACCGTCTTGTACGTTTGGATGACAGCAGGAGATTTTTTCCAATCAATGTCCTGGTTTGTTTTAATCTAATATTAATTTTACCCCAAATATTTATTCATTTGTTAGCCAGGCCGCGTTTGTTGTTCAACTTGGGGCGTGATGGTGGGTAAAACAAAATACACGGCCTAGCTAACTATTGAATGAATATTTACTTTAAAATTCTTATCAATGCAATATATGTGTAGCTTACCAGTTTGGCCGCCAATTTTGATTTCATTCCTTTAAGTCGCACGCTTAATTCTTTTTTGGCTGAACCTTTTCCTCACACCTGATGTGTTTTTAATTAGATATATCTATTTTGATTTCAATCATAAGTGCTTAGAATTTAAATAGCAGATAAGTTCATTTATGTAAAAAGATTATTCCTCCTTAGCGGAATGATATGAACGACGTGTGGTTTGGAGGGAAGCACGTGGCTAACCACGTTGCTCTTCTCCCATTATTTCACCTCACCGTGGTCACCGACCTATGTAGATATTACAGCCTATTATAACCGGACTGTGTAAACTATGTAGAAAAAATAAAATTCAACATTATATTAACGCAATAATTTGAAGCATTAAGTGATTATATCGGAAGAATAATTTCACACCTGAACATCCAAACGATGCAATGAATAATAACATCATCTCTCTAGGAAACACGTAACCTGTTAGATGTTTATGGCCAATTGCTTCACCAGTTAAAACCTCAACATCCATAACCTATATAAGGTCATCAAAACAGCTTTTAGAAAGTTTCTAAATACCTTATGAAAATTTAGAGTTTACTTTGGTAAGGATACATTACTACAGGTTCTAGAAAAAAGTGTTTTAGTAATATAAATATCTGTATGAAAATTTAGAGTTTAATGCATATTTGTAAAATTTACTTTAGGAAATATATATATAAACTTATTAAAAGAAAGCGGCGTTTAAACCAGAAGCTGATTGACTAGATCTCCGATTAGTTCGCTCCCGTTACATCACGCTAGAAGCTCCGGAAGCTGGCGGACTCGAATATCGATCCAAGGGCGAACTGGGATTCGTTACGCATGCTGAAAGCTCCTCCCATATTGGACTTCATTACCAATGAAGTTTCACTATTTCATTAGGGCCTACGTCTCACTTATGACATCCGTACCCGTGGATCATATTTTTAACAGAGTTTTTTTTTTATATTATCTTAAACTGGACTCGAATCAAATGTTGGTCAACATTTTTTCACCTGGTCACACTGATTGTTTCATCAGAATAACGTACATACACAGATTTAAAAACATTAAAACTATTGAGCGAAATCTCGTGTATGCTACATTGGTATAATATCCATAAATATTTTAAACTTTCTTCTTATAGTTCTGGTGTTTAATTCTACTACACTTTGCCTTTTCTGTACTTTCCCATTCCTTCGTCGGTTCTTATTTTTATCTATATTTGTTGCTTTCGCCCCACTGCTCTTCCTTTAGCTTGACGATTTTGCACTTTTTTTTTCTTTTTCCTTTCCAGGTTCTCTTATTGTCATTTTTTTAATTCGCTTGTTGCGTTTCTCCATTGTATCCCCTATACCTTCTCCCTTAATCAGTGGCTAAGCGATAAGTGTTTTTTTTTTATCTGCCTTCATTAATCGCCCCCCCCTCCCCGTGGCACAGTGGTATGTCTGCGGACTTACAGCGCTAGAAACCGGGTTTCGATACCGTGGTGGGCAGAGCACAGATTGCCCTTTGTGCTTAACTTCAAACAAACAAACCTCCATTAATTATTGCCTCCTGTCCTCTTTAATGTTTTTTTTTCTATATTCTTTTAACTTTCTTCTCACCCCCCCCCCCTTTTCTAGCTCCATTATTAATTTATTCTTCTGTCATCTTGGCATTTATTTAACTTGCTTCTTTCTTATTCATATTTTATCTTGTTTCTTCAAGTCTTATAACTTTTATTTTACTTTTTTATATTTTTGTTTCTTCTATCTGTCTCTTTTCTTCTTTTGTTTATATTTTAATTTATTTTATTTCTATTGCTTTCTTTTCATTATTCTTGTTACACTTTTCACTCTTCTTATTTCCTGTTATTTTTTTACATCTACTGCATCTGTTATTTTTAACCACTTACCCTTCTATTTTTTGCTATCATCTTCTTTAACTTCTCCCGTTCAATATTTAATGTTTCCGTCATTTTCTTTCTTTCTGTATTATCATGTATGTTTTCATCAGTTTTGCTTTTCTTTCTGTTTTGTTTTACTCATATTCGTCCTTCTCACATCGCTCTCTCTTTCCATTTCTTTTTTGTGTCCCTATCTCATTATTTTAATTTTCTGAAATTTTAGTTCTCTCCTTCCTCTTGTTTTTCCGTCTTCATTTCTTCTTGCTTTTCCCCTATCTGTTTCTTTACGGTATATGATAATGAGACAACAACTCTTTGTAAAAGAGTAGTTTCTTGTTTCTCAGAATTCTAACAAAAATACATGTTTGTCCATCATTTCAAGTACAAAACGTGGCGAAAGCTTAACTGTACCTATACTAGGAATTTCAAAATCTTGGAAAACTCGATCAGGATCCGCCCTAATCCCCCATTATTCCTCTTTCCCTTTCTTTAATTCTCAGCACGAGTTTTGGAAAAGAGAGGGATTATTCTCGAAGAAAATGTTTTGTTCCATTCTTCTTTAAACATCGTAAATAGATAAGCTGTTTTGTAAGCACAAAATGGTTACTTGTGCTGACAACTCTCGACTGGGAACCACAAGACTCCAGAACGTGTGTCAATTGTAGCATGTGTAATCTGTAGAAATTGGTCTACATTTCTCTTCAAGTTATTTCGTGTGCCAGTCCTGAGTTGCAGGATCGGGAGAGCTACCTTGGTACGAAAGCACAAATCCCACGTGGGATAAATTAATTTGGATCTCATGAGTGATGAATAAGTTTACAGACTCAGTAAGCCATACTAACACGGATGTGACTTGACTGAATCGGCAAGACGGAGAACCATGAGATTAAACAAATATACTCGGATTATTAAATAGAACGCTGTAAAGATTAAGTTGGAAAACAATTCACAGTGTTTTGGAGAAAGGTTCCCACTGTGATGTAAATTAAATAACTTAAAGTATAGAGAAACTTTTACTGAATTAATTAGGACACTCTTTTTGAGATCTGAAGGTTTGCTTTCAGCAAAATAATACAAATTTATTTGTTCTTCCTAAAAACTATAGAAATGTATATCATGGAGATGCGATTTGTCAAGAAAAATGTTTGGCTATTTTTTTGGTATTTTTTTAATAAAATAATACTAATTTTCTAAAGTGTTCAAATTATATTGATGATAACTAAAACACTTTTTTTTTATTATGTCATTTTATTCCAGTCCGAGTAAGGAAACTAACGAGCCGTCAGAGTTTCGCGCTCTCTCTCGCCAGCCAGGGGAAGTAAAGAAATGGATGAAACTCTGGTAGCATGGATGGTCAGGTGATAATAAAAAAAATAATTAATAAAGGATAGACGAGACTTAATAATTAAGCAGGAGATACAGAAGTGGGCACAGGTCAACTATGTAGAAAGTAACAACTGTCAGTGGACATTGTAATTACTTAAAGATGTATATATATATATATGAAGTGGCAGATGTGATATCGGGCAACGTCAATATTTGGATCATGCACTGGAAGAGACATCTGACAGATGTTAGCTTACTC